TAGGGCGCTCGATCAACTCTCGGAGGCAATAGGGTGCCCACCATGGTACAGGACAGGTGCCATGAAGGCACCACACGCAATGGTGCCCTTCAATTTGCCCGCGGTGTCTGCGCGAAGCCAAGCTCCAGCCAAACACTCGGCAATGATCTGGAAATCTAGGCAGAATCCAGATAACCTCTCCAAGGCGTACAGTCACCGGAAGTCAAATGAAGGAAACGTTTTGGTTTGGAATAAGCATATCCGGAGGGTGTCTAGCTCACTGGGTTGAGCCGTCTTCAGAATCTCGATCAAGTTCACCACAATTACATTCCAGAGATGATCATTGCTCTCTCTCTGCTCCCACTTCAAAATATTCCGGCAACGTCTCCAGATCGATATTGGACTATGCTCTCGGCGTGCTGTGCTGGTTTGTTGCTCACTCTATGTTGAGTTTGAATCCTTTTCACAATCTACAACATTTGCAAGGAACTGGAAGACTCTTTCGCGCAATGTTTTGTGGGTCACGAACGTTAACGATTCATCGTTCGCGAGCGCTATTGTCCTAATGGAAAAGGCTGGTCCATCACTAGTGCTCAGGTGAAGTGAGTGATATGAATGAACCTCATCGCAGTACAGTAACGTGGAGTGTGTGAGAGTATCCTCATATCATCCAACTCTCCCAGAAAACCTTGACGACTACCGGATGTAGTACTTCGGAAACAGACGAGTTGAAGGGTTCGAGAGAAAACCGATGATTTAAGCCATGAGTAAGTACAAGTTTCATTGAGGTTCGAAAGGTACTTCGAGGGAAGGAGAATCCCTCGCATGCGCTTCAAGGTTCTACAACGATCATTCTGATCCCCCGGGTAGATGGCATAGAATTTTGATCTAGATGTTCGTCGTTGTGAATAAAATAAAGCGCATAACTTGCCCGGGTTCTGCCATGCATAATGATATCAAGAGCATAGGGAGATTTGATTACAACAGTAGACACAGAATAAAGTAAGTACATCGTTCTCATGGCATGCCATTACTAATGTCCTGAACTGTCCCAAAGAATCCAAATGTGAAGCAAGTTGAAGGCTTAGTATCAAACATAGCCCAAAAATGTTCAAGACCGAGAACCTTCATTGGGCTGAGAAGTCGGCGACGTATTCGGTGAGCAAATATCGATATCCCCACGTCGATTCTCTCTCCAATACGCGTTGACACCAACACAATGAAGGGAATAATCGAACTACACTTCAAGTATTGACTCGTGTACACCCTTCGCAAACCATTGTGAAGAGATGACAATATCCACAGTCCTATTGTACATGTGAGTAGTCATAGCAATCAGTGAAATACATAACAGTTCATAAAAAGACAGTGTGGGGACTTACCCTGTAGAAGAGAGGGCGGTGATATCCACACAACTGGCACCCACCCCATTGAGGCTGTTGATACCTATACTGCCATTGATGGGGAGGGCAAGTTTGATAAGGCCCTGGCAGCTCGCGCGCTTGACTGCCAATCCATGCTACAGGGTTTGGAGGGATCGGCGCAGTCCATATTGGAGGCCCGATTATTGGCGCCGCTCTCGGTACCCGCACTCCTTCGTCGATCCACATTGGAGGAATCACTGGCGCCTCAGCCCTCGGTCCCCACACGTCAGGGATCACCGGCGCGTGGGCCCTTGGTCCCCACACATCATCAATCCGTCTCGGGGGATCACCGCCTCCCTCCACTCCTCGATCTCTTCTTCGTCCTCCATATCAGCTTCATCCTCCCTGTTCCATTGTGGACATGCACATGTCTTCCACGGTGCAGCGCACACGTAGCAAAATTCCATGTGACACCGACATGTTACGTGGTTGCATCCATCTCGTAGTTCTATGATAGAGCCGCACCCAGGACAGGTCTGCCACTGTCGTTCCCTCGCGAGAGCTCTGAGGCTGGTGAGAGCGGCGTGGTTACAGTTCTCGTGGGGATGGGAACGCTGCTTGCAGAGCGTGCATGTCGAGGTAGAGCATAAGCGGCAAGGTGCGTTCCTGTCCAAGTGCTTCGATGAACCGAGGAACTCTGAGCACGTTGGGGTCGCGCAGTAAACTCTGTCACTTGCCAGAGTTCCGTATTCGCGAGCCTTGCTTCGGAACTTGGTCCGAAGGTCAGGGGGAAGCACCGAAAGTACGTCCTCTGAAGGCATAGATTGCTGACAGCAGCGAAGGGGGAACAGCGACTCGTCACCGATGCTTGCCTCAACGAACCTCCGGAGGCAATCGGAACAGTAGTAATGCTCGCAAGGAGCTTGGAATGTGTTTGCAGAACGTTGGAAGCTATTCGCACAACTGACACATTCAACTCTGAGGTGGGAAATGATTGATATGGATCCTGAAGAGGTGAGAAAATCACGTACTGGATAGGTTTGCTGCCTCCAACATTTGGCAACCAGCTATTGTTTGAAGCCACAGCATTTCTTCCAGTACTAGAAATCATAAATCAGATCAGGATATAACGAACCAAGAGCTTGAACTTACCGCCCGTTGCCGTAGGGGGGCTGGGTCTCCAATGCTTTCTGTGCGTCCATCTTTTCCGGCAACGTTTGTCCATCCGCAAGCAAGAGAGCATAGTTATAATCGTTGTTTACTCTCCACTCTTCGACACTGACATTCAGCGCCTTAGTCTTACCTACATTGCCAGCATACGAAGTTGAGGGATGTGCTCCAAGTCGCGAATTCTCGACGAAATCCCGGTTCTCCTCGTAGGGTTTCAAGGCGTACTCCTCGTCAGTCATAGGAGCCCTCTCGCGGGCCTTCCCTTTTCGAGACAATGGAGTGTGTCGTGTGCTGTGTGCTCGAAACGACGAATCATTGACAAGAACGGGGTTTTCCTCTTCGTGTTGCAGTGCCAAGGCATAATCCTCGTCAGTAATAAAAGTTCCTTCGCGTGCCTTTCCTTTGCGAGACGATTCCAGATTGTGGTGTGTGCTATGCGATTGATGTTGGAAATCCTCGACGAAAGCCGAGTTCTCCTCTTCATGAAGTTTCAAGGCATAGGCCTCATCAGTCATAGGAGTGCGTTCCCGTCCTCTTCTGCCAGATGAAGAGTCTGCAATATGGCGTGTCTCATCGACCGAAAGCTGCAAGGCAAGAAGGAGCGAAAGAGACTCATCTCCTTCCGGAAAAATCATGGTGGGTTTCAACTCAGGCTGGACTTCGAGATTTATTTGTGCACTACTTATAAACATACAGAGGAACTAGAAAGGCATCAGAGTGCTGGAAGGACACAACGTGTTTTGAAGACACCGTCTCGAATGTGATATATTGCCAAAGTACTCGGACCTAGTCTGACTCCTTCAACTTGAAGCCAGGTATGTTAAGCATCAATGAGATAGATGGAGTTCCTCATGCTAAACCCTCTATCACTTACCGAATTCCATATATTCCCGCCCACAAAGAGCCTCATGTAAAGCAGCAGTCCGAACGACACCGACAGATCCGTGACGGTACTGCAGTGGTCGCATTGACAATGGCCTTGTATTTTGGACAAGTCTTCAACTTCTTTTCTATTCCCGTGTGAGAACGCAATTTTTTCAATGCTCTTCTGCTCCGGGACAGAAAATAAGATGATCGTGAGCACAGCGCTTTCATAGAACATCAGAAACTGTAAATAATAAAAGAGCATCATAGCTGGCGATAGTGTGGCGCAATCAGACGAACTCTGTATCAATGTACAACTCGGAGGGATGTCAAAGGATGTTTTGAAAGAAGGTTACTGCGATTCAAGGAACAGTGGGAAGCAACGACTCGGATGGGTCGATACCTCAGACCTGTGTGAGATATCAGAAAGTTCTAAGGCTTTCGAAATTCGCTCAGGCGAGAACCTGTCAAATTGCTATCAAATTCGACAATGAATTCTGCAAGGCTTTCAATCGAAGAGCGATGCTCTTCTGTGTCTTCTGCGTTCCTATATTGAGTGTTCTTCCATAGCATTTGGGGGGTTTCAACTTTCATAGATGCACGTTTTCATTGTACAGTGTGAAATACAAGAGCCGCAGCCATGATAATGATACATGTTCCGACACGAAGCTGGGATATCATCTCAGAATGCCATAGGTTCATGTAACAGGCATGTCCCTGTCAAGAGAGAAGCTGTATAGATTACTAGGAAGAACGTTAGATGCACCTAGAATTGATGGATTTTAACATAGCTGTAGAAGCTCAAGCGCTGAGTAGCCAAAGTTGGAGGTATGACAGGATATTCTTGCTATGCTGTTCAACATGAGATAATGGGTACTGATTTGGAAGGGAATTTGAACAATTCGATAAGGAATTGACACGATTAGGTAGATGTACTGGTTGCCAGCTTGAAGAGATTTTTGTAGAATAATCGTCCGAGCATGTCTCCACTACTTACAGATCCTGGGCTCGACGAGCAAAAAATTTTCGGACCCCCTTCAGAGTCTATTTCCCGGCGTAATATACTGATCTTTCAAAGGGGATCGATAAAAATCATGACAGTGGTCATCCAGCAACAGTCAGTGTCGTCCGACCGATCCGACTCTCTCCTTCCAGACATCCCAGTATTCGACCTGTAGTGGGTCTACTATCTACGATAGAATATCATAAAGCTCAAGGCTCTAGGCCTAGGTGCTCCACGACTTCCGACTTTACAGTATCCCAACACAAAAATTTAGCAGAGCGGTGTCTGCATAGAGGAAAGGACTGAAATGCTTGTTGAATATATACAATCATGGATGTGTACGTGTAACCCCCGAACTGTTGAATGAGGGGAGTTGAGGAAACAATGAGCTAGACGGTAGACCCAGTGCATTGCTGGAAGTCAAGATCACTGTACAATTTCAAGAGTGGCTGCAGCAGGGCTGCAGTACTAGGCGCTCAGATTTGCTCAGCGGCCAAGAATACAGTCTGGCGTGGAACAAAACTAACGGTTTATAATAGCAAACCGATACGAACAGAAACTATTTGCAGATGTGCGATGCAAAGTTCGATGGAAGAAAAAGAACGTACCGTATGCAAAAAGGGCCTGACCGGGAATTGAACCCGGGACCTCTCCCAATAAACAACTACAAGTTGCGAGAAGAACCAACCCGAAGGGAGAATCATACTACTAGACCATCAGGCCGACGCCTAACTGAAAGAATTAAGTCGTTGAGATCGAGCATATGATGATTTTGATTCGTGAATTGGTATATGCTCTACGTATCTTTTCTACAGCTGAATCCCTCTTTCCTCGTCCGAAGCAGAATGGTATCCGGGTGCATCATGCCTTATAGCCTTAGCCAGACTAATTAAAACCCCGTCAAGCACACAAACAGCCATCCCCCAGAACGAGCCAACACGCCAGGTTACACGGGGAATGTGGACGAGGGCCGAATGAAGAACTGCAAATGTACTGGTAATAGACGTACTGTGTCGGAGGAGATCGGTTAATCCTGAGGGATGAGGCTCGTCAATGCTAAAACGGCACCGCCCCAGAAGAGCTATAAAGCTAGAGCCGCTATTCGAAGAGCACTATGCGAGTAGAAATGTTCAAACTCGGTCCAGATCTTGGGGGTCACTACGTACGTGAGACAGAACCTATACGTCGTGATTCTGACCTACCTTAACTGGAAACAAGAAAACACACATGAATGCAAACGATATCATCATCGTCACGATTGAGGTGAACAGCAGTTCCACAACGACTAGATCTAGAAACGAATTATGGTCAGTGTTGCTCATTTCAATGAATATAATGTGTAGAACCATAGTATCCTTCGGTGAGCGTGGGCGTGCTGAGAGATACAAGAGAGGGCGACAGCAAAAAGAAAGATAAAGAGAGCTGCATATCCAGTCACATTTTGAGTGTCAGTTCATCGCCGTCCAATGGGCTGATATCGAGTTACGCACCATGATGGCATGAAACTCGGTACTGATGACAAGAAAAGCCATTGGTGTCCTAGTGCGTTGGTTGGATGAGTTCCGTTGATTTTGTTCGGGACTCGGAGATGGTGTTGAGCACTGGATGCACCATAGACCACATACTTCCGATACATCAAGCCCAAGCTCTTTCCAGGACGACCACAAGTGTGGTTGTCTGCCGGCGAAGTCTGTACAGAACAGCAAAAATCTCAAGACGCGGGAGTATGTGCCTGTCGAAAAAGACAAAAGAAGAGCCTGAGGTCTGTCCGCTTTTGTTGTTTGTCATGTAAAACAATGATGGTCGATGAGAGCGTAGATCACTGAAAGCGAAACTCCCTCCAACATTGCGAGAGTGCCTACCAGCAGGCCCGAATTTGAAAGGAATTCGAAGACGCACTTATGTAGAAACAGCTCTCATGCAGACGTAGTTTCCTGTAACCCAACCACGCCAGGAGAAGGCGTGTTAGAATTGAAGGTGCGGACAGTGCATCGATTAAATATCATCATAATCACCATTAAGGTATTCCAAGTCTAGGTTTGCATCTCTGTCTCTCATCTTCTAAATTTCCACTGTAAACCCTGGCAGAAAGTCCTCGTTACGCCGTGTTCGAACAAATAGGACTGATCACTGTCAACGATCCCCTCTGCTCGGTAACGGCTCGTCCAAGACTTTACGTCCATCCCGCGTTGCGGTGATCATGACCACGATTGAGATGATCAGCATAACTGTAAGCGTAATCCAGCCGAGCCACGCGAAAGCCAGGAGAGCAGAAAGGATTTGACACGCTCGGAATTGTTGGCACGCTGAGAGATCTCCGAATATACTCTTTGGGGGAAGATCGCCTTCAATGTCGCATGAGAGATGAAGATTCATGATGACTTACCGAAGCAGCAGCGGCACCTCCAATCCAAAAGAACCATAGGATCACCAAGCCAATGAGTTCTTGCCAGTATAGTCGCAAGAACTCAAACTTCAGCGTTGTTACGAAGAATATGCACAGCCTATGCGAAAGACGTCGGGTCAAGAAGTTATCATCATCATACACCATACATGGACGTACATCAGTGCACACCACAGCATAGTTACTATCGACGTGAAGAGCAGTTCCGCCACGACTGGATCTAACATTCCAAGGAGTGTCAGTTAGGTAGTATCATGAGCGATGGTTCGGAGAAGATCCACCATAAAAGTTTACTTGTAGAGTATCATTGATTCTGACGCAGCATAGCACGAACAGGATGAAGGTAAAAACGAGCTATATCATAGTGGAGAGATCATATGAGAGTATAACACCCGATATGGTAGAAACACGAACCAGAGTTGCATACAGGCCAGCTCGAATCAGACCCAGATGAATCATCTCGTGTCCCAGTAGATAAAGTTCTTCAAGGTCTTCCTTGGCGCTGGGTAGTGGGTATAAGGACCTTCTAAGGTTGAAGAAGGTGGTGGTGGTGGTGAATGAAAAAGGCGTCTGCTGTTACCAGGTCGGTGGTAAAAAGCATGGCTGAGGCTGTTCCGGATATTGCGCATGACATCATGTGGCCAACTAGCTGTGAGTATTGTCGAAATGTGCGAATTCTGGTGCAGTCTACGGTCATCCTGAAGCTTTCTGAAGACGAATATGTTACCGTAGGCGAAGAGTAGAAAGGTAGGTTTCAGCTTCAATTCACTCGAGTTACGCCAAAACCGAGCGCTTCGATAGGCGCTAAAAGACCTTCCTCAAAGTCGGCCGAGCTCGGCTGTTTGGACCTCCAGCGAAAAAAAGTACCAAAATCAAACCGGTCTCATCTCAGACTTGACTCAGTACATACATTGCAATATCTCCAAACGCAAGCTCTAAAAGTCTGCATCGAGTAGCCGGTGGTCTGTAGAAACTATAGCCTTGCCTGAACAGGCTGTACCATGTCGCTTTCGTATTTCTCTAGCGCTTTCATAAACTTGTACCACCTCCCATCATGCCACCGCATCAAGTCGTTCCACTCCTCACTGTCCTCTCCGAACACGGTCCGAAAGGAACGAAGCCAGCCAGCCACGGTGAAATCAGCGAAGCATGGTGCATTTCCTCCCATGATTAAAATATCTGTTTTTCTCATAGCTTTGTCCAGCATACCAAAACCTTCCTGGAACCTCCGCCATTCTCTCTCCCGTCTCTCAGAGCCTTTGGCTGGATATAGATCGGTCAAGTCCATACCAAACATTTCTTTCCGAGTGTGGCGAAAGTATTCCTCGCTCCGTGGGTTTAGCACGGATGCAATCGAGGGGATGAGGAACTGGAGCATGGGCTCGACCCTCGCTGGGAATAGATCATTGAAAGACGCATGAAACGCATGTGTACCGTTGGGAAAGAGAGGCGGGGTAGGATATGTTTCGTCTAGGTATCTCGCTATGGAGACCGAGTCTGACACGACAGCATTTGTGGCGGGATCGTAGATGACTGGAAGGGTATATTTCGGGCTGCCGTCAGGTTTTGTTTCGGTGGGCGCTGCGCCGAGTTCCCGCATGATACGTTCGACGTCAGGGAATTCGACCAGGACCGTTCGGTATGGAAGACTCTTGTATACGAGACTATATCTAGGTATCGAAGTGACAACATTGAAAAATGAGCGGATGGAAAAACTATGAAACCTACCTTGTCTTCCAGACGTTTGGGTTCCAAGAAGAGTGCTCGTTTCGTTTAGCAGGAAAATCATATAGCGTGATGGTCATGGCTGGATGTTCAATCAAGTCAGAAAAAGAGACGATACAGATTGTGATTAGGACTTCGTAAGGTCATGTCCTTTTTATACCTTCCAAAGAGGCTCAAGCATAACTCGAATGATAGCTGAAAAGCCTCATGATTGGTTCGCTTTTTCACAATCCCAGTGGCCTGCCATATCGCAATCTATTCTCATGATCGCTAGCTTTGGGGAGTGAGTACACGGAGAATAAGCTCGTTTAAGGCAAGAAGACAACAAAGCCAAGGAGAAGTACGTACTTTAACAATCGATGCTTTCCCATCCAGGTAAATCCCCAGGAAGCAATGAACGATCCTGAAATTTGCATCAAGGATGAACCTGGTAGATGTTACCGGTCCCCCCAACCCCAACCGGCATTTGACTTCGACCTGGAGTCGGATAAAATGAAGCTCTGAATGATGTCGAACGAAATGTCAGCGGAGCTGTTGATTAGAATTCCTGGTAGTCAAATGGACCGCAGGACTGACACGTATAGTGCTGGAGACCAGAAATTTTTTTCTGAAGATGAGACCCAGCTTGCCTAAACCGTTAGACCCCTTGTAAATTCCCTGAGATTGTATAAAAATAGGGTTCGTCCTCCACTACAGTACAAGATGAGTCCAATGATAATTTGGAAGAACTTCCTTGTAGATAACGAACCAGGAGGTTCTTCCAGGTTCTTCCTGATCACATGTAGACTGTGTAAGCCAAAGCATGACCGCACTCATAATCCAAAGCTAGTGTAGAAAACACAATGCGGAGTTTGCAGTTACTCGGTAGCATATAGCTTGAATAGCTTCGAGGACATGTCGTGACCCGGTCGTAACTGACCATTCATCTCCGGGGAATTGACCGAAGGGACCTGTTCGTCCAGTGAGAAGAAAGCCTCCGAATTCAAGCTGAAAACTGGCTGGAATAAACCGGAAGAAGAACTTCTTCGCCAGAGTCTGTCCGGATCCCGTACTTATCACTGGCAAATCAGAACATATGTTGAGTAGCCAGCGAATTACAAGGTGCCTGAAAAGCTGAAGGGACTTCTGAAGATCATGGAAGACCTTTGTACTCACATGAAAGAGCGCCCTCTGCAATATTCCGGTGACTAGCTGCGTTTTCTAGTCTTGCGAAACTATCAGATGGAGATTGAGCACTCAGTGTGCTCATGAACATTCAATCTGTCAGTAATATCTACCTGAAGAGCCGTAGAATTTGACCCTTGAATCGTCCTAGGATGCCATAGCTCGTTTATTCCCGCTACCCTTTAGGGTAAGGGTTTTGTACCCCCCAAAATTTCCGATCAAAGGCGGTTTGCAAAAATCTGTTTTGCTTCGGGTATTTGCGGTCCGCTAGCCGCTGTTTAGCTCAGTTTGTGCCCAGTTCCCTGCGGCGCTTATGCTTTGGTCAGATTTCTGTAAACCAATAAATGATAAATATTAGCTTAATTCCTTGGGCTGCTGCTCCTAATCTGCTGCATGCTCATGCCTCTTTCTTAGAAAAGTGGGGAGCGGG